GCAGATTTTCTAAACAGATGAAATCCTAAGTTGTGTGAATTCTTTATTTTTGATATCATACTTGTGTCAAATTCTCTAAAAAGTACAATAGTATTTTTTAAGAATATGATACGTAACTATTGATATATTTGAAAAAACCGAGAAACCAAAAGTTGTAATTGTGTGAAACATAAAAGGTTAAAATTTAAGTAGTGATTATCCAAATTAAATAACTTTAGTGGATAAGTAGTATTGGTTGAGGGGTCTTGAAAAGTATTTGGTGAAATCCTACAAAGATTTGTGTGGTTGGCCTACAAGATTTCTTTACAAATTAGATAGCAAGTCTTTACCTAATTACAAAATAAAAAATAATTATTTTTTGCAGGAGAGCCTTAGGGTCCAAGACAGAGTAGGAGATTAGTGTAAATTGCTGGCTACCTTTTTTCATATTTAATTATTCCTATATATACTTTTTTTTACCTTTCATATATTTTCAATTTCACACCTCCTTTTGACAGGTGTTTATAGAAAAAAAGGCAAAAAAATTGGACCATTTCATAAGTTTGACTATACTTTTTTCATGTTGTTGTGATAGAATGGTTTATCGGAAATAAGTTTTCTATCTCACAAAAATAAGAATAAGATATGCGGATATTCAACTCTTTCTCATATTCTAGTTATGAGATTACAGTTACATTGAATATGTTGTTGTTATTGTGTGGAGGGATGACTGATATATATTTTATTTTTTTTGCAAACAAATTTGAAACATCTTATATAGTCCTTTTCTTAACAATTCTTTTTTGTGTTCCTTGATTTTTAAAAGTGGTATTTTGTTTTATGAATCTTCTTTTAAAAATTAAATCATCATGATTAAGGTTAATGACAACTTCTTTTTTGTGTTAGATTTTCCTTTTCTTTTAAGGTAGGGGGACCAAATGAAGACTAAAATAATTTAAAGTAGTTTTATTCTTTACGATGAAAATGTTTCTAATTATGAATCATTGAGAACATATAATATTGAAATTTGAAAATGAAAATTCTTGAATAAGTAATTATTTATGCTAGGAGTAATGTAGGCCCACTTTTGATTTATAATTCAAAATTTTTGAAATCCAAAAAATACTTTTACTAAGTGGCTAAGTATTGAATACGTAACATAAGTTTGTGGTCGGATAATTAAAATCTCTTCATTCTTAATCAGAGGTTTTAGATTCGAGTTCAAAAAGTATACAAAAAATCATGTAATTTGAATTAGTCAAACTTTAAGATGAATAATGAACACCAAATAAGAAATCAAAAAATAAATTAATTAAAAACCGCTTTAAAATTCGATTAATTCGAATTTGTGTGGAATATCATCATGCCTTATAAGTTATATATAACCTTTCAAAAAGAGCTTTGTTCTATTTTTCCGTTAGTGTTATTTCTATCGATCCATTTTATTTTAATTTGACAACGTTTGATTCGACATGATCATAATTCAAGTCGAGATTTTTATTTTAGCACATAATTAGTTAATTATATATTTTCTTTATTTTAAATTATGTGTCATAAATTTTAAAGTATTTCTCAGAAAGAATATGTACTCTAATTATAAACTATTTAATTTTATACTTCTCTTCTCAATTTTTCTTCAATAAGATGATTATAGTCACATTAATGTTTATGGCCCTTTTTTTTTAAATCCCAAGTTCTAAATTTATCTTTCTCTCAAATTTCATATATAATCAAATATTATCACATAAATTGAGACAGACGAATTTACAAATATATATTCTTTAAACCTAAGGCATAAGAGAGGTATGATGGGAATACTATATGGTATAATAATTGTTATTTTTAGTAATTATGTGTAGTCATACTTGGATAAATGAATGAACTTCTCAATCATTTTAAGTACTTAATAAATTGTAGCTAAAGCATGTCTTGGAACCAATTAGAGTTGTGGTGGAGTGATTATAAGTATTTTTTTTTATCTTTAATAAAAGAGTTTGAATTTGAATCTTTCTGGATATAAAATCATCTATGTTAACAAGTATTTTATCCTTCAATATAAAAAAATTATGTGCAAATTTAAATTTAATTAGATCCTAATATAATTATTGAACACCAGATAATAGATTCAATTATTATAAGGTCATTCTTTTAATCAAGTGTTTATCATGTGCAAAAATCATACCAAATTATGTTGGTGCCCAACACACCCCAATAAATCTACTTTTGTCTTTGAAATTACAAATGAGGATACAAAGTCATGGTAGAGGGCGGAACCATCGTTATAGTTACAAATTCAACAGAATTCAATAATTTTAACTTGTTTTCTCGTATTAAAAGTTTACTTAATATAACCTAAAATTCATAAACTATAGAATGTGCTATATTACCTATCAAAAAATCAGAAAAAGGCTAAAATATAAATTATTATAGAACCATGCTAGTATTTGAATCATAGATTTATACGGTAAATTGTATTTTTATTATATTTTCTTAAGTTATAACTCTTTCTCGAACTCTACATAAATATGAATGCTTTGTGAATCAAATTATTATTTTTAATTGGATGTAATGATAATTCAAACTCAGTAAGTTCTTAGTTTTGCTTAGTGATAATGTAAGACTAATTATTGGTCATGGATAATGATGACACACACTATAGAGTGAAAATTGGGTGGGATTATTATTTTTTAGATTGATATTCTAAGTTTAGTGATTATTTTAAATGTAACAAATAGATAGTCAATATTAACGCGAAAATATTTTGAATAAAAATATTTCCGACTAAAATATGATTCTTTTAGTACAGTGTGTTAGAGTTCAAAATCTCATCATGTGAAACTTCAATAAAGTCAATCTTTTTAATGTGAAACTCCAACATAATGTAATGAAATTTCGAACTCAAAGACAAAATTCTAGAATCATGAACTCCATGACTCTTTTCTTGAATTCATCACCAATTTCATGACGAAAACCTTCTGTTTATAGAACCACAAACTTTAGGACTCTTTCCTTGAATTTGAGACCTCTTAGATGTGAAACTCCATCACTGTAGGGAGGTTTAGAACTTTTACAAGTGAAATGTAATTTAAAATTTTGAGCAAATTTCACATATAACAAACACAAAATTCATATTTCTATGCTATAGCAAAGTTTGCATAATTGCGCTCCATAGTAAACATATATAGTATAATTCGCTATACATATACAATTGAAAGTTATGTCTATTTCGCTATACATATATACAAAAAGAAGCAATTGTATAATTCGTTGGTTCCTCTTCAGATTTGTATAATCTCGCTGGCAGGCCATTTGTATAAATTGTTGTTAGCCTCTCATTTGTATAAATCGTTGACAAAAATATTTGTATATCAAAAATCGCTCTCTTTCGCTTTATACAAACATAAATTATACATTATATTTGTATAATCTGTGTTTGTATAAAACGAGAAAGAGAGAAAGGCAAAAGAGAACTGGGCAGAGAAATATTTGTATTGTATAATTATAAGTGTATAGGACGAAGATATATGTATTTGCATGTGTATATACAATTTTCTCTCGCTTTATACAAACAAAAGCGCAATTTATACATTTCATTTATGTTTGTATAAGCGAGAGAGGCGAGGGTGGCGAGCGAGATCTGGGAGAGGGGAACGAAAATATATGTATATATACAATTTCCTCTCGCTTTATACAAACACAAACACATTTTATACATTTGTGTTTGTATAAAAGCAAGAGAGGACGAGCGAGACTGCCACCAAACGAGAGTGGCGAGCGAGATTCCACCAGGGAGAGTGGCGAAAATAGCAATAGTTTGCTATAGGGTACAATTAAAATCAAAGTATATTTATAGCATTTAATTTGAATTAATAGTTTGCTATTATATACAATTTTCTAAAAAAAAATCCTTTGGCCTTTCTTTGTTCAAGGGAATTCGTTATTTGCCTTATCTATCCTCTTTCAGGTTCACATATCGGGAATTTCAAACTCCAACATAATATAATGAAGTCTCACCTGTAAAGTTTTTGAATTTCAGCATATTATATTGGACTTTTTGTATATTTGAGTGGTATCTCTGTTGAATTTTGTTTATTATTATTAAAGAACAATAACAATAAGTTCAATGTAATCTAACAAGTGTGATTTGAGAGTTTAGAATATATACAGACTTTATGTTTTCTACATTGTTCGTCTCTTTTTCTGTTTTATTTACATAAGAAAATTTGATCAACGGTATCTCGAAAACAGCTTCTATTAACAACAAATACTAATACACACTGGAGAAAAAAAAACTAGGATACCTAAATCATACTACTAAAGTATGATAATACTCGACTATAGTAGTTTTTTATGGGAAATTTTTACAGAATAACAAACATTTAAACCATATTAAATGTTATAGCTACTGTTTAGGGAAATTCTAATTGACAACTATAGTTTCGCCCAAACTTTTTATTTGCAATTGTATAATTCACCTGATTTGTATAAATTCAGAATTTGTATAATTTGATTCCTGATTGTATAAATCCAGAATTTTGTATATGCTTACCATATCTATTTGTATATGATTTATGAAAAATTCATAATAAATTACCATGTTTGTATATTGGCAAGCGAAATATACAAACGGAGTTCTAAAAAATTCCAAACTGTATAAATATAGAAATTGTATATACTTAACTTATTTGTATATTCGCAAGAGAAATATCCAAACGAGAATAAATATACAACCGCAACCTACATAGCAAATGGAACTATAGCTATGAAACTCAATTATCAAAACTATTGCTATATAGCCTTATTATGTCTATTATGTTTGCTATTTTTTTAATTTTTAATTTTTTTTATTTTTCTTTTTATTAGCGATGTTAAAGTGGCTATTTGTCCAATTCTCTCAAGGTAGGTTGGGTTGGGCCTTTTACTCAAGTACTAACCAAATTCAATTAAGCCCATCATAGATGGCCCTTTTAGTAACCCGGCCCAACACTGGACACACCTATCCATCAAATATCAATGTTTTCCTTCAGCATAGATCCGCCATTGTCAAATCTTCCAATTTGACGCCATTACAGACGCATCCACAGTTCTCCATCTTCGTAACTTTGCACCAATTGCATCATCATGATCAGAAGAGAAACAATGGAATTTCCTTCATATTCTCATCTTAAAAAGGTTTGAATTTGATAATCTGTTGATCGCGTTTTTGTGGATTGTTTGATCTGAAAGAGGTATTTTTGAATACCCTTTTGCTTGAATCGAATATATTTTAGCGGTAGAAAGAAGTTTACGGACGAATATATAATTTATTTTAGGGTTAGGGTTTCGGGGATCTGTCGTTTTGCTGTTGATTAGCAAGTTAGTTTTTTTTTGATGTTCTGCTGTGAAAATTTTTGGTGATTGAAAGTGGGAAGCTGTTCTTTTGCTGTAGAAGTTTGGGTTGATTTAGGTTGGAAATTGCTGAAGTTTAGTCTTTTGTTGATAATGAGGGGGGAGAGGAGATTTGGAGGAGATGCTAGAGGTCCACCACGGTTGCCGGAAAGGAGAAAGGATCGTGGTTACTCGCCTCGACAGAGGAATAGGAACAGGGATTACTCGTCTCCACGGAGAATTAGGGATGAGGGTTACTCGCCTAGACGGAGGATAAGAGACAGGGATTATGTGTCTCCACGGAGGATTAGGGGCTCACCCCCAATGAGGATTCAAGAGCGGAAGAACTCACCACCAAGGAGGTATCAGGGGCGTGAATACTCACCCGTGGAAACTAACAGGAACCGCGATCGCTCACCACCAGTAAGGAGACGGAACCAGGAATACTCACCACCAGGAAGGAATAGGAACATGGAGATTTCGCCACCAGCAAGGACTAGGAACTGGGAGCAGCACTCACCAGGAAGGAATAGGAACAGGGAGATTTCGCCACCAGCAAGGACTAGGAACTGGGAGCAGCACTCACCAGGAAGGAATAGGAACAGGGAGATTTCGCCACCAGCAAGGACTAGGAACTGGGAGCAGCGCTCACCACGTGGACGGAGTAGGGAGCGTCACCTTTCACCTAGTGGCCAGATGATTGGTGAACAGCAGGGTGAGTACTTTCACGAGCTTGAGAGGTCGAGAAGGATGGGAATTGATGGTGGTGGAGACTTTGGAGAGTTGCAGAATGCCCGACCCTTGAATTATGTTGGTGGAGATAGAGACTATGGGCCATCTCAGAGCTTGAGAATCTCTGATCGTGATAGAGGAAACACTGACATTCCTGGTGAACATTCACACAGGCTGCATGAGATAAAGGAGGGCTCAGGGAATGAGGACTCAACTTCCAATAAGTATCCATGGAGCCATTTGTTAGATAAGCCTAGAAAGTTTGATACTGTTAATGGGTCCAGAGACTATGGAGTTAGTGGTAGTAGAGTAAGCAGCGAGAGAGATAATCGTGGAAGGCCCTATCCGGGTTTTGTGGATGGTAGCATTTCTTCAGAAGCTGATAAGAGGGCATTGTACTCTTCATACGAATCTCATCTCCCTGATGTTGGTGTACAACCAAGAATCTCTGGCATTGGAAATAGTGGTGGCTACTCATTGCCATCACGTTATTTGGATGCTGATCCTCTCAAAGAGGAGGAAATACATTTACAAGAAGGGTTTCATTCTCATAAAGCAGCAGGAGGAAGAGTGCCGTCATCAATGGACCCATACATGGAGGAATCCTTGAAGACCAGACGATATCCAGAATTCAATACTGACTACATGATATCGTCATCTCATTCTAACATGGTGCCCGGAGTTAATAAGGATGATATCACCAGTTCATATAGTATAGAGGGCCAAATTTGTTCACATGGAGGTAGACTGGACAATGGAAAGGCTATTGAGTCTATTGGCCATGCCGGATATGATAAAAATCCCAGGACCATATCTTCCCTGAACCCTGAAAAGCAAGTTAGTGGTTTCAGGAACTACACGGAGTCTTACTTTGGTCGAGCTGAGGAAAGGCGTGAAACATATAGTTATTCTGACATTCAAAGAGGTGAAGTTGGTAGTCCTAATGCCCTGTCTAGTGAATTCTATGGGAAGAGGGTGGGTTCTGGAGAAGCACATTTTCAAGATGTTCCAAGGAATAACATGGGATTGGGCAAATATGATGAATTTTCTCATCGGGAGATTTTGATGGAAGATAAGCCACGGGAATCTCTTTTTTCTTCACAAAGACGGTCAACGCCGGATTATTTTGAGTCCCGCAGAGCACTAGACCAAAGAAAGCCAGATGTGGACATATTGGATTATGGGGCTAATCGTCTACAGTATGAAAATGAAACACATCGAGGCTATGAAAGCTCCCGTAAAAGAGAGCTTCATAAGTATCAGATGGATGATGATCTTCTAGAAAGATCTGATGCCTTGTATAGAGAACATGACCCCCATTTAGAGAAGATAGAGGCAGGTTCTCGTGAAAGATTTATTTCAAGGGACTTGCCTGGATCATCTAATCTTTCTCTTAGAGAAAAACATGGCACAATGAGCAATCGTAGTGCCGGAATTATGATTTCAAGTGATATAAGGAGTGCACACATAACCCATGATCGTGAAGATGCTGATGAAATGCGGATCAGTAGGGATATGGATTCTGTAGTTATGTCTAGAAAGCCAAATGTCCCGCGCTCCAAATATGTGAAGAATGGTAGGCCACACAAAGCCGCTGCCACTAATAGTTCCACCAGAAACCTTTCAGTGTCCATGTTGAGACGTACAAGCAAATTTAGTAAATCTGGTGGAAGTGATATAAAGAAGCGGCTGGGTCCACGTTACCAGAATGTTGATGTTGAACACCCACTAGGAACAAAATATAAATCTTCACTGAAGAAGCGTTTGGGACCCCGTTTAGTGAAGAATCATGCTCCTCCACCATGGGTGAAAAAGTTCAATTCTCATGAGCTCTCTAGAAATCAAGATGCTTTAGATGAAAGTGTTGCTGAACAAGGTGATGACCCCAAAGAAGGTATTACTACTACAGCAAAAACTGAACCTCCTGAGAACTCTAAGGATTTTAAGCAGCTGGTCCAAAATGCCTTCTTCAGGTTCGTGAGGCACTTGAATGAGACTCCAGCTAAAAGAAGAAAATACAGTGAGCAAGCTGGTAGTTTAAAGTGCCTCGTGTGTGGCAGGTAGGTCTGTCTTTTACATCATGAAATGTTTTCATAGATGGAGTAAACTCCCTTCTCTTTTAATTGAACTTATTCATAACTATGTTGCTGCGATCAAGTAAGTGGAAGTAATTCATATTACTGGTTTTATGAGGACTCATTTGGTAAGGTAAATAATGAGACTAGCTGGGCGCCCATGAGGCTTTTCATTCCATGAAGTCCGTCTGAGTAAAAAATAATTCCTGCGTGGATGGGATGAAATGGGCCTGAATACAGCTGTTATATAAGGATTTTTGTATAGTTGGCTCTAAGTAGTGTGGGTTCAAGGTTTACTTGATTGATGCATGGAAACTCTGGAGTTGGAGAAAAAGTTCAATTATGTAGGTCGGAAGTCTTATTGTCCTGGAAATATTATAACCGGAAGCTTAGGGCATTCCCTCTCCATCTGGCTAGTTAGCACCATCGCCCATAAGGTGCTTATTATGAAGAGCAAATGTATTCTTTGTTTTAGTACATTTGCCCTTATCTTAAAATGGTGCTTACAAAGAAGATCAAATACCTTGGTTGTTCAAACAACCATGACTTTGAGGAAATGAAAAGGGAAGATGTTGAATGAGTTGCAAAAGAAAACCTCTTCTGCTATTCCCCTAAGTGGGAAAATCAGATCTGACACTAAACTGGATTTGACACACCAGATGTTCATGTGGTGTGATTGCTTGGGGAAGGGGCAATAGGTGAAGCAGTTTGTTTGATAATTGGGTTTAAATATTGGCTATAACAGTTAGCATATTTCTTATTTCAGTCTGATGATTAGTAGTGTCTCCACTTGACCATAGTCAATGTTGAGCTTAATGCATGATCAAATAGGAGAATCTGCATACACGTATACACGGCTTTAGTTATTTGCATATTTAGTGACCAATTCTAGACCTTGTTGGGCGGACATAGTTTTTAGCCTAGTCTTTGCACATCCAGTTAATCTTTGTTGGCTTTGGATTTTGCTTCGCTCACTAGCTTATTTTTATCGGATGAGATGAGAATTTTTTCTTGATGAGTCTTGTTTAAAGATAATATCTCTTGTAGGGGCCACCTGAATGAAGAACTTAAGTTAACGCCTGCAGATCTGTTGTCTTTTATGAAAAATAAATTCATTTTAGAGGTATTTTTGGTTGGTAAGTTGAGTAACGGTCTATTTGTCTGTTTAAGTATCTAGAATGTTATTGCTTACCTTTTCCCTGCTATATTCCAGTTATATTTACTGTTAACTCAGAGAACTGTATAGCTTATTTTCTTCTCTTCTTATTGACCTTGTTTTGTTTCTCAAAACTTTATTGGACCTTTTTTTCATCAAGAACTTTACTGGACTTTTTTCTTTATGTCGTCTTCTATGCTGTTTCAGAGATTCAGAAGAGTTCGCAGACTCAGAAAGCCTCGTGCGTCATGCATTAACATCCTCTAAGGCTGGTCTCAGATCACAGCACTTAGGCTTTCACAAAGCTTTATGTGCTTTGATGGGATGGAAGAGTGCAGATTCTCATGAAGATAGTTGGGTTCGTGAAAAGCTATCCAATGCTGAAACTGTGGCTTTGAAGGAAGATCTAATCATCTGGCCTCCAGTTGTTATCATCCATAACAGTTCCATAAATAGCAGCAATCCGGATCAGCGTGTGGTTGTATCAGCTGAAGAGCTCGAGTCTAAGCTGAGAGGTCAGTTACTTTTGGTGGTCTAAAACACGCCGGATACATTTGTTTGGTTATAAAATCATGTTATTAGAAGTAAAATGGGAAGTTCAAACTAAAAAGGTAAGTGTGTAGTGTGTACATAAAATGGGATACGGAGATTAATAAAAAGCTAACCACCCCCTTGGCCCCTCCCTTTGGAAAGGCCAAACAATTAGAAAAGGGTATACCTTTACTGGTTCAAATTCCTTTACTTTTGGACTTTTACCCTCAAATTCGTTCAAGCACTCCAGCTATTTTATTTTTGATGAAGGCATTTATTTTACTGTACTTCCTCTAGGGACTAAGAAAAGGTAAATCTCAATTCAAAAGGATATTTTTCCTCATTGTTTTGTGATTTGCTGCTTGATGTGATTTTCAGATGTTCCACTGCTTTTATCCTTGTATCTGCTAGTTTAGCTGAACAGATCTTAGCCATAGTTATTTTATTTTCTGAATCTTTTGTTCTAATCCTCTCTTTGTTTACAGATATGGGCTTCGGGGAGAAGGCCAAGGTTTCTCGTGGTAAACCTGCAAATCAGAGTATTCTTATGGTGAAGTTTAGCGCTACCCTCTCAGGTTTGGAAGAAGCAGTAAGACTTTGCGACATATATGCCCATAGGAAGCATGGAAGGGCGGAGTTCCAGCGTATCAGTTCTGGTCACTCTGGAAACAATGACGATGAAACTAAAGAACCATTGACAGATAAGGTAGGTAAAATCCTTTATGGTTACCTTGGAATTGCAGAAGACCTGGACAAAGTTGATTTTGAAACAAAGAAACGAAGTTCTGTGAGGAGCAAAAAGCAGATCAAGGATATTGCAGTTGCGCCTTAAGAAGGAAGACCAAGTTTTAGTTTGGCAGGGCAAAAATATATGTTCTGAATGATAGCTAGACACTTTGGCTTTTGCTTTTGCTTTTGCTTTTGCTTGTAGTTAATTATATTTTGCTATCTAACTTGATGAAAGTAGATACTCCCAAATATGTCTTTAAAACACAGGCTTGGAAATGGTTATATTATAAATACTTTTGCCCATTCTTGCTTATTGCTTGATGCCGTTGACGATTAATTAATGCTTGTGTGATAATCGTCTTGCCAGAGCAGTTGTATGTAATTAATTGTATTGATGGCACAAAGATGGTGCTTAGTGATTTCATTTCATCTGCTGGGTAGAGTTGGCTAGAAATGAGAATTAAGAAGCAAAAGCTCTTCTTTGTATCAAGCTATAGCACTACACAATTTTTTGTTAGAAGGTGTAAAACATATAGCCTAGTACAACAACATCGACAACCTAGTGTAATTTCACAAGTGGGGGTTTGAGAAGGGTAGTGTATATGCAAACCCTATCTCTACCTTGGGAGGTTGTTTCCGATGAACCTTTTGGTTCATGGAATAAACATATACCTTACTATCTAAGGGGAACTTTAGTGTATTCAGAGAAATTTCTCCCCTTCTACCTTTTTTGGTGGTTCAAGAACTTGATTCCATAAGCAAAAACAAAGAAAAATAGAAGAACCCAACCCACATGAGCAAACACCACAGCTACAAGAAAGTCATGATCATATCCCAAATATTCTTTCAGGAACTGATTCACCTGCATTTTCACAGTTTCACCAGGGATTTCAAGTTCATCGGTTCTGTCTCCCACCTGGGACGCGAAAATGCCATATATTGTCCAAGCAACTGGAGAACCCCAATAGTACCATCTCCACCACACTGGAATTAGCTGTAGAAGTTATAACCAAAAAAACAAAACACCTTGTAAGTTTTTAGCTATATCAAGAAAATGTTCAAGAAATGGTTGCTAGTAGTTTGGTCTAAGGTTTGACCTACCGGACGAGGAACAAGGAAACCGGAGAATAAGTTCCAGAAGCTGAGGAAGAAGGACATGACAATGGCAGCAATTTGATAACCAGGAGTTAAAGCAACAACCATCATGCCATACATGGAGAAGTAGGTGAAGCACATGAATATGAAGTAGTAGAAATAGAAGAACTTTGCTGGTGTCCATTCATATCCAATCATTGAAAACAACAGAAGAGAATAAATAAATGTCTGTACTGCAACATATATAGTCTCTATAGCCACCTGCAAATCACATAAACCAAAACTCTCATAACCAACTGCTATACTTGAGAAACTTGAAAAATGTCAATCTTTTGTTGTGAACACTCAACAACAACGTACCGGGTCTAAGGATGGTAGGGTGTATGAGACCTTACCTCTACCTTTTCGGGAAGAGAGGCTGTTTTCGATAGATTTCTTGTGAATATTAAATATGACTAATTGTCTAAACTTTCCAAATATGCTTATTTGGAAAAGTGCTTTTTCAAAACAGTAATTTTGGAGAGTAACAGTTTTTGTTTGGCTAATCAATCGATATTAGAGGTTCCAAAAGTGATCATGGGGAAAATTCCTGGTTCCGCTACTAGACTAAGAGATCAGTGAAGATCAAGCATGTATTCAGGGAAGTTTATGTGATACCTGAGCAAATGCATAAGGCAACTCTGAATACATTCCAGCAGCCCTTTCGCGATAGAAAACTGTTCTTTCAACAGCCACAACAGATTGTACTGCAGAAGCATTTGTGGCTCCAAGAAACATGACGGCTGCATAAGTAGCTCCAAGTAGATTAAGCAAGTCTTGTTGTCTGTATCTGTTTCACAGAATAAAAAAAAGTCAAAAACATTTCTCAATTTGAAATTCGTCAACATAATCGAGCTTATAACAAAGAAGTTCAGGATTACATTTTGTTCCCTTTATCCCAAAAGATGACACCAAACATAATCCCAATGATTACTGTCATGAAGAATCTGATTGCATTATATTGTGAATTCCTCCAGTATGACCAGTGTTGTTTCCAGAAACAAGCCTTGCACTGAGTTATGAAGGATTGGGAATATTGAGTTGGGAAGTAGAGATCCTCCGAGCGCGGTGCTGGTGTGCTGAGTTCCTTGATTAGTAATTGATTTCTCCTGCAATGCAAATTGAGACTCTAGTTAATACTCCCTCCATCTTTCCTTTTTAGTCCGTTTAAAAAAAAATGCGTTTTTTTTCCTTTTTGACAACTCTTTACTTCTAACTTTTCACGTGGCATGTGGCATATTGGTATGCTCTACGTATCGTTAGTTTAAGACAACAAGATTATGTCAAGTCATAACCAGAACAACAGATTAGCTTAGCAGTATCCACAAGAACTTACTGATAAAGATCAGACTTGGCATAGACTTCAGCAAAATCGACATCAAGTTTTGCTTCCATAGAAGATGAGGTGACATCAAGCATCCATGTAGCTGGATTATCGCACTCTCTGATTTTAGTAACCCCTCGTATGGCCTGCAGAACGAAAAACATGAAGTGAAAATTAAAAACCTTTTGAATTATGAGAGAAGAGAGTTCTAATATACAGCCTCATCATTCTTTCATTTCCTTAGCGCGCTAAGGAAATGACTGACTTAGAACAAAGTTTTTGTGTTGTTGATTCCTAGGTGTAATGCTTCCACCTTTATGCTGTCTATTAGCGCTAGTAGAGTAGAATTAGACCATAATGCAGAACATTTAGACATAATCTTTTCGCTTTAATACTAGAATCGAGAATGAAACATAGCATCTGAGGTTGCATTAATCGAGGATACATGACAGAAGGAAGTGTTCTATTTCCATATTTCACCTTCAAAAAAGGCAGAGGATAGAGAGACAACTAACCTCAAAATATTCAACCATTGTTTGGGAACGAGTGCCAAGAGGTCCAGCATATATTACTTGTCCTCCTCTTTTCATCAAAAGTAGCTTAAAACAAGAAGTTTGGTTTTATCATGACTTATTTTACAAAATGGAATTATGCCTATACATGAATAATGGATAGAGTCGATAGATACCTCATCGAAAGCTTCAAAAATATCTATGCTAGGCTGGTGGATCGTGCAGACGACTGTTCTTCCTGTATCCACCGTCTTTCTGACAGTACGCATAACAATAGCTGCAGCTCTAGCATCAAGTCCTGAAGTGGGCTCATCCATAAAGATGATGGATGGATTTGCAACTAATTCGACAGCAGTGGTCAGCCTCTTTCTCTGTTCAGTAGAAAGACCGTTTATCCCCGGTAGCCCAACAAGAGCATTCCTCAATGGTTTGAGCTCTACCAATTCCATTACTTCTTCTACAAACATCTGCACTTGGAAAGAAACAAGGTTAGTGAAACTGTAACACACAGTTCGTATTAAAAGTGGATCCGTTTCAATTTGTTTGTCTGGTTTTGACTTGGCACGTAGTTTAAGAAAGTAAATAAGACTTTTGAATCTTGTGGTCTTAAACTAAATATATGTGGAATTTACCAAAATGCCCTTTTAATCTTGTGGTCTCAAACATGTCATGTGGAAAGTTAGAATTAAAGAGTTGCCCTAAAAGGAAAGAGGCATTCTTTTTAAAACGGACTATAATGGAAAGTAAGACAAACAAATTGAAATGAGGGGAGTGCTACTATCTTACCTTTCGTGTTTCTGTCTTTACATCAGAGGGAAGACGTAGCCAGGCTGAGTAGAGGAGAGATTCATAGATTGTAACATATGGTGAATGAATGTCATTTTGTTCACAGTAACCGCTGACTCGAGCAAATGTTGTCTGATTCTTTGGGTAACCAGAAATCTTTATGCATCCTTCTATGTATCCACCTGTCTTTCTACCTGCTAAGACATCCATCAAAGTGGTCTTTCCAGCACCACTGACACCGACTAAGGCTGTAAGAATTCCCGGCCTAAAAACACCACTAACATCTCGTAGAAGTTGCAATCTATCTTCTTCAATTCCTTGAGTCTTCATTTCCTGATAAAACAAAACTTCCATGTTTAGAGACCTATAGTGAGAATACAATAACTACACCTCAGTCCCAAACAAGTTGGGGTCGGCTATATGAATCCTCACTATTCCATTTAAGCTCAACTATTCATGATGAGCCTCATAACGAAGAAACAGTGAGAATCATCAGTAAGATTGGAAAAATAACTTACAGCAGGCATATCCACATAATAATTCACATGGTTGAATGCTAGTGAAAGTGGCTGAAACGGTAAGATCATCCGTTTTCTTGATTCCTTATTCGGGAAAGGAACAACACAGCTGGTGTTTACTTGAGAACATGTTGTAGCCATCTGAATACCTGTGGTAGTTATTACACGACGAATTTGTCTCAATCTGTGTGTTTATTATTCTAGCTCTACAGATTAACCTTTAAGAATTGACACTTAAAGGATGACAAGTCAGGAATGCAACAAAGAGAAATCCAAAGACTTCTGATGGCTTGTATAGAAGTCCAAACTTTAGATGATATAAAATACTCCCTCCGTTTCAGTTTGTTTGTCTGGTTATGACTTGACACGAAGTTTAAGAAAGTAAAAAACACTTTTGACTCTTTTGGTCTTAAATTAAAGATACGAAGAATGTACCAAAAATGTTTTTTAATCTTGTGATTTTAAACATGCCACGTGGAAAGTTAGAATTAAAGAGTTGTCAAAAAAGGAAAGAGACATTCTTTTTGAAACAGACTAAAAACGAAAGTAAGACAAAAAAAATTGAAACGGAGTGAGTAATTCATTTAGTTTTATTGATTAAATCTATTTACTACAGCCTTTTTGTGTCTCTTTGATTACTTCAATCATTTCATTTCCATTACAACAAAATAACTGAAGAAGTTGCTGATTGAAAATGTACAAAAACAGAAATCTAGAAGTTACTTACCTCCAACTGTTCTTTTTTCTTGTGGCCTACTATTGTTTTTGTCGTCGTCCTCAACACTGACAGCTTTAATATCTCCGAGAGCTGAGATTGATCATGCTTTGAGTTAATACACCGTGATCTCTTTACAATTGAGTTGTGAAAGTTAAAGTCATAAAAAGGGAACATACGATTTAAAAACGTCAAAGCTGCAATGAAGAGGACATTGAAGAGAAGTGAAAATCCAAAAAGTGCTGCAATGCATATCCAATACCAAGCTTCTGTGGTAAATAAGCCTCTGTCATGTAGAAGAGTCTTTCCTACTGTTGGTTGAGA